GACATTGGAGGGGTTGGAAGGAAAGAGGTTGCTTAGAAAAGTTCTGAGAATAAGTAGAAATCTTGTCAATCCCACTGAGCTGGTTTAGCAGATTTTATTGCTCATGATATTGCTCTATGTTGGCATTAAGGAAATGCAGATGTACATACATCTGCTGTATCCTACTTAATAGAGCAATGGTTTTTGACTGAATTTGGAACCATAATTCTATGCCGCTTAATTACACTGATTTCCTTAGCCAATTGGTAAATTTTGCAGCTCTTGCATTTAGTTTGAACACTTTACGTTTTCAGTATGTTTTCATGCACTTCTTCCAGATTGTTAAAATAGACAGCTATTGTAGAGATATTTTAAGCCATCTGGAATTATATCTAGTAGTCAGCAATTTGAATTATAGAGATATTTTCATACCCTATGCAGCATCTTTAATTTTCTTGGGCACATACATGCCTGCCCAACACAAATACACACACACATACATACTCTATAAAGTCCAATGAAAAAGCATAAGTAATTTTATTGGTCTTTTTAAATAAGAAGAACATTACTTGAAAAGCGTTTTTTATCCATAAATTCCCTCTAGTACTGAGAAAGTAAGAGGACAAGGCTATACATCATTACCAAATAAGAAACATACATATTTTAATGTTTTGCTCATTTTTCTTAGGTCAAACAGTTGATTATGTCAAGAAAAACTAAGATGTATCTCTAATTATTATGGCAAATTTGCACAAAATGCCAGATGCATAATGGCTGCAAATGTGTGTAAAAATCCTCAGTGGCCAGCCATAAACCTCACAATCTGGAAAAAATAATGACAAAGTGCAGGTGCTTAATCATTTTACGTCTGCTACCTTATCTGTTGCTACTCCCTATCTCCAAAAGCCCTGTATTTTTAGCATGCTGTCTCTAACTGGGTTCACACATTACACTGAACCATGAGTTTTTCTTTGTTTGGACATATTGTGCTAACCTAAACAAAGTGTCTTAGCATGATGTATCTATCCTGGTAATTGACTTATTCAGTGCTATATAGCAATATTTCCATTTAATGAACCTTGTATAATATATTTTGAATGTGACTGACAATTGCCTATTCACTGTATAGCTCCCTACAGGCATAACAGCCCAGTCACTTAGGTGAGATGGGCCATGTAGAAGTTTAATAAATAAATGAAAAAAATGTCCAGTTTATCATTTTGCACATATACAATTATGTAAAATATGCATGCATAAAGCCCCATTCATGTTTAACAGATGTTCGGCTCTAACAGACACTTATTACCCCATTAGTCCATTACACTGAATGTAACTCTGAGGGAAGCCAAGGCCTACTTGATTAATATGTGAACAGTGTTGGTCTCTGAAGAAAGAAAGATTTAGAATCAGAAAATCCTACAATATATATTTAAGATAATACTTCTATATTACTTTCTTTGTACTATTTGGAGATAAAACATAGAGTCTGGGTCATTTTCTAAATAATTTATCTTATAAGAAAAGAATCACCAGGAAAAAAAAAACTAGAGTAAGAAGATGAAAAATTTAAAAATAAAGCACGACAGATCACAAACTATCATAAATTATTCTATTCAATGAAGCAAGACAAAACTGTTCCAAAATCTATCTGGCTTTCCTAACAGTTTTCTTTCCCTATATATAAAACCCAAGCAGTTTTGTATTTCCTAGTTCCCCTAATTTCTTTCTTATTCTACAGCCTGTCTGGCATGGTTTTCCCTGATGTCTGATCCAAAAAAATTTCATGGGAAGTTTCATGAAGCTCTCTGGTGAAATGAATGTATTGAAATTGTTACATGTCTTCCATTACAATACAAGCCACAATCCTGGACATTATCATGAGCATTTTTCTTCTTTATAGGGGAAAGGGGGTGGGGAAAGTGAATAGTTAAAAAGCTGTACAAGAAAATTTTGGTACAGTACAATTTGTCGCAGGAAAAGAGAAGCACAAAAATAAAGATACAATGTATTTTGTGAGGTTTTTGTGCATCAGTAATACAATTGTAATGATTTTAGCACAAGAGCTCTTCATTAGAGTTATTTATTTCAATTTCACTATGCAAAAAATGCAGATCTATGCATGTTCATTCACATGTCGCTGTATTGACTTTGGAATTCCTTGGTAATGGTGTTGCATATCCACAACAAATTTTATAAGGGCTCGCTCTTCCAATTGCAGTTGAGGAAACTATAGATACTTAATAATTATTTTGAAGTATCTTCGAAAAATTGTGATTCCAATGATCCTTTAAAATAAGTATTGTGTGGAGAATAGACATAAATGTTGATTCTGCACATCAGAACATATGGGGAGAGGACATATGTTTTTCCCCAACAAATATTTGTGCAAAACAATTGATGTGAGGAGAAAACTTTCATAGCCAATATGATTTGTTTCAGATGAGACAGCAGTAATTTAACATATAAGCTGTGCATGATTTGTTCCATAGAAATGATATATGTGTGAAAAAAATGATTGATTTTAGCCGAGAATCAAATATACTGTACTGATCATTATGCTGGTCTTTGACTTTAATTAAGATTTGATTTGATGTATACTGATCAATGTACGGAACCATTTCAGAAGATTTTAATTTGTTAGCTTTCAGAATAGTTTATATATATATATATATATATATATATATATATATATATATATATATATATATATATATATATATATATATATATATATTAAAAAATAAATAAATGCGAACACCAGGATAATATCAAACTAAAAATCGTTTAATAAAATGCTGAGCTTTCGTCGGTCAACACTACCGACATCATCAGAGCATAAGAGTAGTGTCCCTAGGGGACACGCATTGGCTGTTCCCTTGGTGTTTTTCAAGGCTGCTATTCCATTACCCACTTTTCTTCCTCCACCATTGATTACTAAAGCTGCTGTTCTCCCTTCCCCCCTTCTTTGGCTGGTCGCTTTCTTCGTGTGTGTCCAATTATCTGCTTCCACCCTATTGAGTCTCGGGCTTGCTGCTCTTTCCTTCCAATTTTGGTCACAAGTTCAATCTTGCTAATGTACAAACCTTATCTAGGGATGCCACCAAAGAAGGCTGCCTACTTAAATAGGCTTGGCTCTCCGATGAGAACTCTGTAAACCACCACGTAGAACTCTGCCCAGCACATCAGACATTGAGAACATGGGACAAACAACACCATGAATTCCAACGAAAGCAATTTACTCACCCGTCACAAGGTCAGGGAAATATGGCAATAGAGAGAACAATCTGCCAAAGTAACAACAGACTAACAGTGCATACCGAAAGGGGAATAGAGAAAGGGGGACAGAAAGTGCACCCCAAAAATGTGTTAGGCATATACAATCCAACTCACCCCACGGAGTTAGGAGAGGATGGGGTGAAAGTAATGCCACAACTCACTGACAACCCCGCAATGAGTACCTGCGAAGGCAGAGGACTCCCCTTTGGGAGCTTGCACACAAGCAAAAAAAGCAAGAGAGTTACTAAATGGAGGAGCAGAGTCCAATGGGCAGTTTGCAGATGGTTTGGTGGTGCGGAGGCGAGGATTACGAACAATGGATAAGAGAGAGGAGGAACGGAGTGAACAGCAGGAAGGAGGTCCCCTGGATGCCATGGAGCACTCCCGGAGTGAAACAACCCCCCCAGCAGAGGAGCGAATATAAGAACGTATCTGCCAGAAGCTCCCGGGACAGACATCCGAATACGCTTGGCAAACTACTCTGGAAACGCCCACACACACGCAGGAACAACAGGGCAAAGGAGCAGGAGGACCGGGTTAAACACACAGCACATTGACAGCCCCGTAGAGAAGGAACGAATACAATCCGGGATGGGGGTGAAGAGAGGGAATGAACTAGAGCGTTTAGCACAATGCGATGGTTGGAGGCATATGAATAAAACAAATACTAAAAAAAGGGGGGAGGAGAGAAAAGCGACTCCAAAAACCAATGGAGACACGGCAGATGACTACAGATATATGAGGAAAACAATCGAAAGGAAACAGGGGGAGGAAAGAGCAGCAAGCCCGAGACTCAATGGGGTGGAAGCAGATAATTGGACACACACGAAGAAAGCGACCGGCCAAAGAAGGGGGGAAGGGAGAACAGCAGCTTTAGTAATCAATGGTGGGACAACAGACAGCGGTGCATGCACGAGGGGAGGGATTGGAGGAAGAAAAGTGGGTAATGGAATAGCAGCCTTGAAAAACACCAAGGGAACAGCCAATGCGTGCCCCCTAGGAGTTAAACAATTAAGGATGTTGGATGGACCGATGACCAGGTCCAGGAGCCGTGCGCAAAACTGGCCAGTATTATAAAAAGGGGACTCCCATTGACCTACTCTTATGCTCTGATGATGGCAGTAGTGTTGACCGACGAAAGCTCAGCATTTTATTAAACGATTTTTAGTTTGATATTATCCTGGTGTTCACATTTATTTATTTTTTACTGCATGGCTTTACCCAGGATTCGAATTTTTAACATAATTATATAATTTATATATATAAAAAATCTTACATAGCAGATAAACTGAAATAACCATAGAATGTACACCCTATATTGAATTGTATTTTTTATCAGAAATTGTATAAGGAGTAAAAATAAATAAATAAAAGGTTTTATTCATGTAATAGTAGAAATGAGCAATTAGAAACTGTTTTGTAATATTAAGTATACTGTGTATATTACCAAAAACAGTCTTAAATGGTTATAGTGTACAATCATGTTAAAAGTAATTTCATGTTAGACCATCAGGCTTTTAAATAAATGTTGTTGTTGTTGTTATTTTGAAAAGCAAGAGTAATATTTATTAGGTAAGAAAACTACCTAGAGTTTGGATTGCCAGGTTCAAAACCAGCACCAGATGGGATTTGGATATGAATAAGAATAATATATCTATCTGAAAAGCTTACACACACACACACACACACACACACACACACACAAAATTTTCCTAATACAGTCATTTTGGGATAACTGAACCTACCTTCAACACCAACTTTGAACTCATGCTTTGTTTCTCCTAAATCATTTGAGGCTACACATTCATAGGTTCCTTCGTCATCTCTAGTAACTTGTTCTATTTTCAAAACTTTTCCAAAAGTCTCAGTGACTCCTCTGAAAATGCTGCCTCTGTCAATCCTTCTCCATGTTAAATGGGGTGTTGGGCTAGGATAAATTTAAAAAAGAAAGAAAATATTTATGTTAAAAAATAACATGGGTTTTACCCCCCCCCCCCATTCAAGAGTTCTACCTTATGTAGATGCCAACTAATGCTTATATATAATGTTGAGTGGCCATATAAATCTTTTCATTAAGTAAATAAATAAATGTTATATATATCACAGTAAGCTGTGGCATATCCCTTAAAAGCTGCAATGGTTTTGGAGACAAGTAAAATCATTGCTTGTTTTACAAATTCTCTGTGTTCTTGTCTTGTGCATCAAAGAACTGGGCATGAAGTGAAGCTTAAACACTGATTAGGAATAACCCAGGAAAATTGCAATTAAAGTATTCTTCCCCATACTTATTTCTTATTCCATATTTGCCACCTATAAGTCAACAACACATCATTATTTCAAAATATGCATTATTTCAATATATATATATATATATTTACAAGCAAATCATAATGAACACAGTCAGTTCACCTATTGTGCCATGAAGAGCATGGGGTATCAGAGATAAACTGTGTGCAACAATACGTGTATTTAGGCATGCAAAGATTCGGAATCTGCTAGCTTGCTAAAAGCAGAAAATGTGAATATTACTGCACTGTCAAACCATAGAGTTGAGGGCCACAGAGCTAGCTGCAGCATTTTTTGAACAAATTACTACGCCCTCTTGGGTTTAGTTGAGAAATGACAGTCTTTTTTAAAAAAAGGATAATCTTAGGTCACTACCAGAACTGAAGCATATTAGAAATGCGGAAAGTCACTGGTGATGATTTCAACAAAAGTTTCCACTGTACTTAAGAGAAAATTGCTGCCACAAAGAAAAAGGCAAGCAGAAAAGAGTACTAAAATGCAAAACCTCTTTATCTTTTTTCTTTGTGGATTAAGATAAAACCGAGGGGAATGCTCTCTTGAGAACAGTACAATGCAGGTTATACAAAGGCTCTGTGAGGGAGATGGGTGGTTTTAAAAATTGATAAACAAACAAATAAATACCAAATATAGAGAGTATATTCTCCCTTTTTCCCACTGTGATTTTCCTTTTCCTTTTTTCTTTTATTTGCAAACTCTGCTTAAGTTAAGGAATTAAGCTCCACAAATTATCTGAGGTGCCATTTTTATCAAACTTTTCATTGTAATATACACATTTTCAAACCTTCTCTCCTCCTCTTAGCTAAAGCAGGTCCTCCAGCAAAATATGGTTCATATTTTCCACAATCTCAGGAACAGCAAAGTCATCACAAGCCTGAGATACCAAATATCCATAGTTACAGTTAATTGGAGGCTTCATTTAATTTATACTGTAGTGTTCATTTTGTATTTGGAATAATTTTGCCCGAATTTTAAATAATTAAAATCTGCTATCTTTGCTCTCCTCTGAGGAAATAGCTGAAACACTTTGATTCTTTTATTATATTAGGGGAAAAAAAACAATGGAAGAAACTGTTGTATATGTGGTAACTGGGTTCAGTTCAGCAAAATGCACTTTTGACCATTTTTTTAAAGATCTCTTCATGAATATGTATCTAAATTCTGAATCATGCTGGTGACATAATGGTAACATGTTTGCTCTTCTAAGCAAACTGACTCAGTTTGTCTATCACACTAAGACAAATCACCAGCCATATAACCATGTGCCTGTTTTGTTGCAAAAACCTATGGGATTTGTATTTCCTGGAAGCTATATTGTCTTTTTTTTCAAAATAAGTAAAAATATACACAGCATTATCGATCGGCTACTATAGATTAAAAATAGTTTAGAATGCTACTAAGAACTTGAGCTTATTTCATCTAATCCACAATGGCTTTATAATCATAAATGGGGTTAAAGATTTTGCTGGAAGGGCAATAATCAATTCTTTGTCTTCCTAGCCAGCACAAATTCTCCAAACGATTAAATATAAAAAGAACTTTGTGTTTTGCAGAATAACTGTGAATTCTCATAACAAGAAAGAGAGACATTCAGGCCAGGCTGCTAACTTAGCATTTCCAGCTGGCTTTGCTATTGCCAACACTGTGCATGGCATAAACAGAGCAGAATCACGTCAGCTTATTCTTGTGTCCACCTGTTGGGATGGCAACATGCCAATGGTCAGGTTACTATCAGTTCCAAGTTCCTAAAAATATAATAGGGCTGACAAAGCCCAAATATTTACAATATCTTTCTGTAACTTCAGGTATCTTTTTTTAAATAAATAAATACATAAATTACTTTTGCTTCTTTGTTACTAACAGGTAGTCCTCAACTGCAATTGAGACCAAAATTTAGGAAGATAGTTAAGTGAGTTTTGCCCCATTTTATGACCTTTTTGCCACAGTTGTTAAGTGAATCACTGCAGTTGTTAAGTTAGTAACATTATTGTTAAGTGAATATGGCTTCCCCATTGACTTTGCTTGTCAGAAGGTTGCAAAAGGTGATCACATCACCCCACATATTTATGAACCATCATAAATATGAATCAGCTGCCAACCAGTTTGATCACAATGGCCATACCTCACTTTTTTCAGTGCTGTTATAATTTTGAACAAGTCAAAGATTTGTTATAAGTTGAGGACTATATTGCTGTGGGGTTTTTTTTCTTTGCTGTTATTTTTCAAGTCAAGCTCTAAAATATGAATACTCACAGTCCTTCAGCAATACATTCCAGAAAAAGATCCATTCCTTTCATAAATGTCACTTCTGAACTGGGACCAGAAGATTCAGGGACAAGTAGCTTGGGTTTTCTTTCTTTGATTAAATTTGCTAAAAGGGAGAAAAGTAATTTCAGAACTTTTGAAAGAAGATTAATTCAACTCTTCCTGATTTTATCAAGAATGTTCAATAAAAATAGTGCTAATTCATTCACATATGTTCTACATGTTATCTACATATCATAATAGGATATTCTTTCCTGCTGGGTTGATTTTTTCAGCTGCTTTAGAATATGCTTCTAAAGTTTGCAAACAAAATACTATACAATAGAATGTGGTATCTTAATTGTAATTTGTGGATAAAATGTATGAGTGCAGTATATTCTTGACATTGTAGGAATAGTAGAAATAGAATTAATTGTGAAATTTGTGGGCTTCAAGTTAAAGGTACAAGCTTTGAAAATGAGAAGAAATGGCAACATCCTTAAGTAGACTCCTATGATAAGGAGGTTAGGAGGAGGAAGAAATGTTGGATAATTGCAGGGTTTAGAGATAGTGGGGGAGAGAAGGACCTCCTCTTCCTGAGGCTCTACCCCTCAGTGTCATCTGGCCTAAAGAAAAGTTATATTCTTCATCTTTCCAATTAGCTAGCTTAATTATGGTTCCTCACAACATTTCCAAAAAGAGATTAAATTGTTTTTTTCCTATGAACATGGAACATGGAAGAAATATGGAAATTATAAGCAGGAAGAGGCTTTGGAAACTCAATAGTATCTTTTGGGTTCCGCTTCTTATTAGAGATTTTGAAGGAAATCTATATGGTCATTAGAAATTCAAAACAATATGGTGGCACACAATCAATAATCAATCTTATTGGAGAACGTTGGGCTACATGGGGAATCTTGGCAGCTTGGACTAGATCCAAAATTTGGAGTTTTCTATTCCTGTTTTATTGGGTAACCATACCAAATTACTGTTTTCACTTATATTGAGGGAAACTGACACACACACACACAAACACACACACATACACACACACACATCCTGTCATTTGCATATTTCTGTGTAAAATGCAATATATTTTAAGTAGCATCTTTTATTCATTTTAAACTGAATTGAGGCATGAAATGTTAAACAGTAACAACTTACCCTTGGCTGCACTAGATGAACTGGAATCATTAGTATATTTTACTGCAACAGACAGAAATGGAGACCAAATGGAAACATGAATGGTGATGAAATTTATCAAATAAATGATGAATATAATCAGACTGAGTAAAGAATTCAGATTATGCTGACGTAGACCCATTTGCAAGGTGAACTTCGTTTGTTCTATCCATGTCGCATGAAACTGAAATTGCTAAAAGTGTCCTCCTTTGTAAAAATGGGATGGGGAGGGATGCTATTTGAATACAACTAGAGTATTCTGCTCATCTTCTGGACTGAGATCGTATTATTTCCATCTAAAACAAATGCCATAATTGCGAAGATGCAATGCAAGCATGCATAGTGATAATGAACACATATACAAATGATGCAAATACCCAAAGATCTCATATTTAGCTAATATTTTAAAGAATGCTCTTCCATCATGGCTCATTTAAAGCCCTTTCTGCCAATCCTTCAGCAAGCAGAAGATTTTATTTATTGATTGACTGATACTTAAAACCTGCTCCACTTTCAGAAGACTCTTGTGAAACCAAATCACAATAAAAGCATCATCAGCAAAAGAAAAACAAATTCAACATCTCACAAGTTAACTGGAGCTTCAGTTTTTGCTGCTGCCCCACTACTGATCCTTATGTTGTCATAGGGGCAATATGTAAGCCTGAATACTATTGTTATTATTAGGTGGATTTATTTGGCTCATACAAAAAAAACAACCAAAAACAGTTCTACAAGCTTGGGATGAACCTTCAGTCTAGCCATCCATCACATCTCACCTCATCTCTCCACTTCCAATCCATTTTAAGGAGACAAAGTAGTAGATGATTTTCCAGGAGCAACTGTTGGAACAACTGTTGTTTGAAGGGAGGGAAGGAGAACAAAGCCAGAGGAATTCCCAATTCCCTTTTGTAACATGCCTTGCACTCAGTACATAAGGATACTATCATTTGGCAGCAGTTTGCCTATGACAACATAGGAATCAGTACTGGGGCAGCAGTTAATTGGTTGTGACATGCTAATGTTGAATTTGTTTTGCTTTTGGTGATGATCTTTTATTGTGTTTTGGTTTCACGCTACCATAGTTTATTTTCTTTCTAATATCATAGAATTGTTTTGTTTTGAAGAGCCGTGGTGGCTCAGTGGATAGAATGCAATATTGCAGGCTGACTCTGCCCACTGCCAGGAGTTTGATCCTGAGCGACTCAAGGTTGACTCAGCCTTCCATCCTTCCAAGGTTGGTAAAATGAGGACCCAGATTGTTTGGGGGGGGGGGGCAATATGCTGACTCTGTAAACTGTTTAGAGAGGGCTGTAAAGCATTGCGAAGCAGTATATAAATCTTAGTGCTATTGCTATATGCTATTGTTTTTCTAAGTGGATTGTTTTATATTACTTTTTGTCCTATGTGAGCTCTTCATTACTTCTTCTATTGCAGTGACATACAGATGTGTTAAACAAATTATGTCTCCTTATTTTTTAGATTTTTTTCCAATCACAGTGGGTAGAAGAACCAAGGCTGACAATGATAAAATAATGTAAAATGTATCCTGAACTATATCTTAATAAAATGAAAACAGATTATTCCTGACTTAAACAAAGTTAGGTGAATTGTCCTATGGTAGAAAAGAATTTTATTCTGCATTAAAAATTAATTACTAGGGAAATAATTTAATCCTATCTTTCTTGAGATAAGTGGAGAACCTATTTATTTTCACACAATAGTTTAGTCTTTTCAATATTTTATGTATATGTTAATATTTTGTACAATCCTATACATGATTATTAAGATGAAAATCCTTTCTTATTGAACTGGGCTAAATCTAAACTGTAAATGCAAAAAAAAAATCAGAAATAATAAGTTTAAGCTTCTTCTGTTTAGTTAGAAGTTGTTTCGTGTTTAAAAAATGGGTAATATCTTATCCCATCATATTGTTCAAATGTAGTTATACAATAATGTGGGTTGTGAGCAAAGTTCATTTATGGCTTTGGCAATAAATAAGATTTTGAAGGATGTAGAAGTGAGGCAGTATCTTAAGAACATTTGTGGATTATATGGGTCAGCTGTCATGAACCACCTAAGAATGTAGTCAGTATCATAGTAGTGATATTAAAACTGCTATCCAAGGCAATCTTATTTTGCCACAGAGTCCAATTTGGCAAGACACCAGACATAATCAAAGTCTATTTCAGCAACATACTCTGACAGTTTATCAGTCATAGGTAGTAGCCCTCAGCTAAACTTCACTGAGCTTATAGAAGGTAAGCAAGGAAACTCAGTTAGTATTCAGATGATATATCATCAGAAAATCCCAGTTATGGACTACATTAGGAAATTAAAAATAAAACTAAGTGAAAATCAATCCCAGAAGGTAATAACAAATTAATTCCACATTTGGGGGGGGGGGAAGCAGGTGAAATTCAGGTGGTCACCAAGAGTAAACATTACTTTAACACTTCCCCAAAGTGGTTACCTAAATGAGAAATCATTCAGGATGAAACTGAGGTGGGTATTTGTTCTACAACTTATAAAGGAGGAGAAGAACCAATCAATTTATATGTGACAATCAAGAAGAAAAAAGGAGGAAGTTTCAAATGAAGTCTCTCAAATTTTCTAGTGGCCCTCAGTAGCTCCATCACCACAAATCATTCTGTCTTCTCATTTTGATGGATTTTTTTTCCATCCAAGAGAAAATAAAATGGGTAGATATATTGCTGACAAGTGCCTTCAATAATATACCACATGCTAGTTCAACAGGAAAGCACACATTACTCTCAGTTCCCATTTATATTAAAAGGAAATTATCATTTGGTGCCTCTGAAAAGAAGCTGATTTCCATCCAAATCAGGGTTAGATTTTTATAGTTTTGAGGTTCAGAATAAAACAAGAGAAATCTTTTGGCGAGCTAACAGCTGCAGCAGTTTTATGAGCTGGGCCTAGCTGTCATCACTACGACAGCAGTGTGGAACTGAATACATTTGCATATATTTCTTCAGCAAAAATGATGATTAAAAAAACACACCCTCATGTCACATGTAAGAATTACCAAAAGAATCAAAAGGTTGGAAGCAGACATTAGAGCAGATGGGAGATAGAGGAAGAAATGAAGAAGGAAAGAAGAGAACCAATTTCCCAGACTTACAACGTGTAACCGTCAACGTCATTGGCATTTTCTGTACAATAGTTCTTAATTTTGGAAATGCAGCAAAGCAGCAATAATCACTACGGCTGTCATTTTCATCCACATTTGCAAAGTAAAGGTCCCCATTAAGGCCCATGGAGACCCTTTCATCTTGTGGGATATGCTGCAAGTCTGAAAAGGGGAAAAAATGGTAATGATTCAGTATCTGACCCTTGATCCCAGGTAAGGAAATAGCTCTTCGGTATTAATAATGCATGTGACTTGAAAGAATATACAGAATATTTGCTAGTTTTCCACTATGCTATGTAGGGGAGGAAAAATCACAAGTAGAACAAACTGCCTGGATATCCTCTTGCCAACCGTAAAATATATACTGTATCTGTATTGCAAGCTTGATATTGCATACATTTTTCTGTGACAGAATTCTTTTTTTTTTTTTTTGCAAAATAATGCACCATTTTCATTGTGCATTTGTTAAAGAATTATTCAAGCCAGACCTGTACTCTACATGTCATGGCTGTCAAGAAGCCACTTATCCTGTCAATTAGAATAGGCTTGGATGGCACATACAAAAGTATAATGTCTATCCTTTATTTTTTTTTACGTTTGTATAGACGAACTCATTATATGATTTATTCTTACGTGTAAATCAGTCCAATTTGCTAAATGTAGCCATGCACTTAATTCCATAATATAATTCCATGTTTTAATTTGAAAATGAGAAAGTTCATAGACAACTTTGAGAACAGAGAAACTTGGACTGAATAAGAGAGATAGTGGGCTGCTAGTTCTTAGCACAAGCTTCTCTAAAGGATAAAAGGAATTTCACCCCACTGAATTCAGTAAGGGTCTGGCCTTGGTCCTCCTTTCTTATCTTGGTTTCTTTGGTGACTTCATCCCTCTCCTGCATTAACTTATACATGCTGATTCTTCTGCTCCATCAAACAACACCATATGCCAATGATGGCGAACCTTTTAGAGACTGAGTGCCCAAAAACTGGCCCTGCCCCCGCTCCACCCCCTGCCCTGCCCCACTCCACCCCACCCTCCCTGCCCGCAGGGTCACTCACCGTCTCAAGGGCCCACTGCAGATTGCCCAGGCAGCCCGGCAGCACCATGGCGGCCACACCCTCTGCCCACCCCCTGCAGCATCAACTGTGCGCGTTGGGGCGTGAGAGCAGAGTCTTATCTACACTGCCTGGCTGCCATGTCCTTGGCTGTGCTGATCTGTGTGGGCCACGCTCAGGGGCGACTCTCCTCCAGGGAGGCTGCTGGTGAGAAGGGGATCGCGAGTGGAGGCAAGGCTGGGGCAATGGCACATGTGCCCACAGAGAGGGTTCCGAGTGCCGCCTCTGGCACCCGTGCCATAGGTTCACCACCACTGCCATATGCTGATTCCTTCTTCTTCATCACCCAAAATGTATTTACTGAAATGGCTACACCTGTTTGAAGGGCACAGCTTCCATGACCTGGATGGGCCTCTTAAAAGATAAGGGTTTTAGGAAGCCATCTTTCACACCACTCTTATTCCTATGTAAACGGGTTTTGTATTAAGGCTTTTCTGATTTTACCACAATTCTTATAAGTTGTTTTCTTATTTGTAGTAAATATTTTTCATGTTCACAAGCTAGGTTTTTATTATTTGTTAGATTTCACAGGGAGAAGGGAGGAAATTAATCCATTTTAAAATAAAGTGCAAAAGAGCTAGAAAAAGTTCACTTAGGAATTTTAGAGAAAATCAGCACTCAAACCAAGAACTTCATTTACTTTGAGACATACATAAATGTGGATACATACATAAATGTGATTCACTGAATGAAATCCAAATATAATTCATTATATTTTCCTTTTCCAAGATGTAAGATTAGTAAGTGTTTTAATGAACAGCAATTAATCTTTGCAACTGCCTTTTAAGTTTAGCATTAACATTTTCTAATTCATTGTCTGTAATTTTCAGTTTATTACTGCATTCTGTTAAACCACAGAAAATGCCATTTATCAACCGTGTGCAATTTTAATTAAATTCAAATTATAGAAATACTTTTGCAGAGAGATTCCATTTGTAATGATGTCAGGAAGAAAGGACAGATACTTACCAATATTCATCCAATAAATGTGCAGTGGTGGGATGCCTTTGGGAGGATTGCAGTGCAAAACCATTGCATCACCATGTTCTACATCAATGGGGTCAATCTTCTCCTTAGGAAATTTAGGAATACCTATTGTAATAGAAGCACCACAAGAAGAAGCTAAATAGCACTTGTAGTCTTTTCCTATTCATGGCATTCTCTTTATTATTACCTGGCATTTTTTTAATTTTTCCCTGTATCCTTTTTATTCAGGTAGTAAAACAAAAATTCTTGAGGGAAAACTATGTTGACATATGTTCTAACTCTGGATGAGTATACAGTGGAAATTTCAGGCATAGCAAAGACCCTAACAGTGATGTATAATTTTTTTATTGATCATGTTTACATTCTCCCTTCCACTATATAGATAGTAGATTTGGTTTTACCTTACAAATGAAAGAAGTTGGGCTAAGAGGCCTGATGATGTCCTTTAGCACTTTCATGGAATTTAATTTTATTAAATTATTAATTTATATAATTAATTTCTAATCAATCTCCAGTTCAAAATCTGGTTGAGCTTTAAAGTCTGCTAATTACATTTAACTTGAAAGCAGTTATCTGAAAATAACTAATCTCACATAACTAATAACTAATCCCTATTCTCATGCAGTTACCATCCTGAGATTATCTTCAGAGCTGCCCTTCTAAATTTCCCAAAGATGCTATAGCAGATAGATCAGAATTATCTTAATTCTAAAATATCCTCATGAATTATTTTCCCTAACATCATCTGTTTTCCTTTCCTAAATCTTTAAATCTTTTAAATTCTGTTTCAGTCTGCTGCTTTTTGGTTGATGGTTATATTGTACTTTAAAATTGTATTGGTATAAATAAGTAGAAATATAGTATAATTTTACAATCCTAAAGTTTATCAAAATAATCAAATTGTTTCCAGAGTATGTCTTTATTGACATTCTATAATTTCCTGTATTTTCAACAGAGCCTTCTAACTGTAGATAATAGCACCATTGAAATAAATAATGGTATACCAAGGACGAATCACATTATATTGTCCTATTTTTTTAAAAAAAGGTCCAGAATGTTATGCCTCTCATTAGGGATCACTGTACATAAACATTTATGAAAAGAAAAATGAAAAGACTCCATGTATGAAGACTCAAATTAAACCTTGTTTTATATCTTTGTCGCAAATCTTCCGACCACAGTCAGAACTTCCATCATACGCTTGAGCTTCATATTCTCTAGCTGCCAGTCTGCCATGAACTATAGGGGGAGAGAGCCAGTCAAGAGGGGTGAAAGCTAGCTACTCATCATACCTTCCAGAGACACCATCTCAAGGTCAAAGTCTTGGAATGGAATTCAACAACTCACCAACCAGCCCGCTGTTGAAGAGACAGTTCTCAAAACAATTTATTCAAATATAATTGGACAATAAGGGACCAGCAAAGCAAAGGAACTGGATGGGGAAAGTTAACCAGGAAAGTTTGGCGCATGAACTTTGCTATACAGTAAACCACTTGGCTTTTAATAAAGTATACCTTTCACTACAAATGGAATTGAGGGTCTTTCTTGTCTAGAGGATCAAGTCAAGGCAGGCCTGACACAGGCTAAAACTGATGTGTCATATTACCAAAAAAAATGAGTGTTGTTTTTTTTAAAAAAAGAAGAATGTTGAAACCAAACAAAATCTAGTAATAAATTTTATGAAGGTTGTAATGTGAATAGTTCTCTTTCAAAAAAACCAAACAAACCTCCTTTCTTTATATCTATCAAGTTCCACAGCTTGAAAAACCAGTCCTAAGGAATTTCCCCTCAACCTTTTATTTGAAAGATATAAGTACAATGATATAGATATATAGATATGGTATATGATATATGGTATATATATGTGTGTGTGTGTGTCTGTGTGTGTGTGTGTTTTCTGAGGTTTTCACGGGTGTTTGTATGTAGGTCTTTGGTTTTTCGGGTTTTCTCCCGCGTAAAATTGGAAGTGTCTTGGCAACGTTTCGACGAAGTCCCATTGGTCATCTTCAGGCTGGTGTTTTCGGCTTCATGCTTCTAGGAGCAATGTGTGATCACAGCTGTTTCTTCATTTTAACTGCCAGTGGGGGTATGAACTGATTGGGTGGGAGCTTGGCTGTGTTCTGATTGGGTGGAGGTGTGTTCTGATTGGTTAGGGGCTTGGCTGTGCTCTGATTGGATGGGGGGTTGGCTGTGCTCTGATTGGATGGGGGTGTGTTCTGTTTGGGTGGGGGCTTTGGTGTGCTCGGATTAGTCTGAGTTGCAGGGGGATTTGAGATGGAGAGCTGCATTGCTGTTGTTTGGCTTCATGTTCATGGTCGTGCCATATCTTCATGGTGGGTGTCAGTTTGCTTCATGTATGGATTGGAGGGGTTTAAAATGGCTAATGATGCAGCTGTGGTCTGGTTTCTGGTTTGTGATCATGCCTCATCATCGGTGTGGGTTAGGGTTTGCTTTTTGCGTGGATGTGTGGTGGTGACATCCTGTGTGGTTTTTGTGAGTGTGGGTCTAGTGTCATTCTTTGTGTTAGGGACTCGTTTGTCAATAAGGGCACGTTTCCAAATGGCTGGTAGGCGGGAGGTATCATCTCGTTTATTCATGCTGTGTGGGCGTTTTTCTATCCCACCCAATCAGTTCATACCCCCACTGGCAGTTAAAAGGAAGAAACAGCGGCGATCACACATTGCTCCTAGAAGCACGAAGCCGAAAACACCACCCTGAAGATGACCAATGGGACTTCATCAAAACGTCACCAAGACACTTCCAATTTTACATGGGAGAAAACCCGAATAACCAAAGACCTATATGTTTGTGTGTGAGTGCACATGTATGCATGTATGTATGTCTCTTTAACTACCTGACATTGGGGCCAGTAAAATCACTTGACTGGTTCTTGTTGATCCATTTCAAAAATGAACGATGTTGAGTATGGGGAAAGATCTCAAGAATATTTGAACTGGGAAGGAAAAAGAAGGAGAAGTGGTGCGATTAGCCCATGGCCCACAATTGTAGGAACCATTTCATAATGCTGGATTGGAAGAATGAGGCCTAAGACTAATGGGAAAAAAGAATTCTAAGTGTATCATAGATTTAAAGACCATCATCTTAAACTGTGGAAAGCAATTGGCAACCAATGCAGCTCTCTCATTATTACAAGCTGGACTTATTATGCTGGCTCACAGCCCAGCTGCCACATTTTACACCAGTTGCCATTTCTGTATACTTCAAATGTCATGATCAGCACCAAACTCCAAACAATTTCTCCTCCTTTTGGCTACAGGAATAAATTGAAAATTAAAAGTTATAGGATATCTCAGTTACATTGCTTAGTAGTTAGTGCCTTCCGCTTCCTAACAGTCTTCCATTATACACTAGTATATAATTATTGGAGTTGTACTCCAATACTTCTCTCTGTATTTATGTAAAATAATATTGAATGTTCACTCAGTTGAAAGTGCATACATTCTTTTTATTTCAGCTTACCTATTTTCATCCCTATAATATTGTAGGGCTGTTCAGACTTAAAATTTGTGTAATAGCCCTTTTTATACATTTGCATTTTCATTGTGTTGTTGGAATAACTGGAATGTGTAAACACGACTTTTATTTTCTCCTTCAGCAGGATCCTTGTTTGACTTTGAAATCCCTCTGTCACTGAGCAAAGTGTAAACCACTCAATGGTTTCCTTGGCATAATTGATGTTGAAAAGCATGACTTGGTGTCATTTCTTTCTCTGTTCACTTTTTATATGGATGGTGAGTTGCCAAGCACCTAGTATCTTCCGTCAAAATTGTGGAGAGATGCCTGCCAAGAACCATGCTATTATCATGATGTCATATTTATTAAGCTGTGCTTTGATTGTGTTTATACATAAAAGGAATTGATTTATTTAAACGTCCTCTACAATCCCACTTATCAAATTTGGCCATGCAGAATAGCATTGTTTAGATACTAACTCAACCAAAGAGGAAGTAGGGGAAAAAAGATGGACCTTTAAAAGATGCTAAGGTTTCTCCGTGATAATCAAAAACCCATGTATTTGAATATGAAGGGTGGCAAGATATAAACTAGCACATACAACACTATTTTTTTATACAATCTAATATAATCTCACTCTTTCTCTCTTCACTTCTTCACTCTATCATATATATATGTATGTATTAAAAATAACACTAAAAATAGATGAGTGATCCCTGGGTATGTATGTATGTATGTATGTATGTATGTATGTATGTATGTATAAATTTTGTTTTATTTTCTTTGTTTTTAATATATACATATACATTTACGTATAAACATTTACACATAGCCACTTATTGGTTGATGGGTCATACATGGAACATACAGATCATACATGGAACATTCATTTTGGAAATGAATAAATAACTTTTATTTCTTCCCAAACACATCAGGTTTAAACATAGAGGTGAGTGGTATGCAAATTTAAGCAATAAATAAAATAAATAAATTAGTTTATTTGTTCTTTCACATCTAAGCCAGCCAGCTGACCTTGAACAAGTAAGTACATGATTATTACTTGAATGAGAAAATGACCAAACAATACTGGGGCTAAGACTATACAGGGAAGAAAAGAAATTAGAATTAGAATTCTTTATTGGCCAAGTGTGATTGGACACACAAGGAATTTGTCTCCGATGCATAAGCTCTCACTGTACATACAAGCAACAAGTGATAAATCATGATCAGGAATAAGTCAATATCATACCACATCTGTACGGTTGTTCAAAATTCCATCTGTATTTGGCCATGAAGTACTATGAATAAAGGGGAATTTTCCTTTACCTTTGCACAAAAAGCCATTTATGTACAATTACAATTTTCACTTATTTATGTACGCAGAAGTTTAACAAAGCAGTTGTTCCAGAATAGTGGGTACATCTTGAAGCAGCTGCTTTAATTATCTTTATGATATTATGGTATCCTTTAGGCTTGCTATTTTGCTTTCCTCCGCTCTTAATACTTTTGTCTCAAATGGCACTCCATAGTTACAGCCAAACATCATAGTCAGTATCTCTATAGCTACAGGCAGCATCACAGTCTAATTCCTATTACCTTTATGTGAACTTTACCAATTGCCTGCTTACTCT